TGCCTGTAGTCAGTGGTTTGACGTAAGATGAAATGCTACCAGCCACTATCTTAATGGGCTCTCTAATTAGGATATGTAGCTTCATATCCCAGGTTGTTGGCAGCCACAGATAGCGCTGACTGTAACTGAAGTGAGGATCATAGACATGCAAATTAAAGGTCTGGGGTGAGATCCTTTTTCTTCCAGAATGAAAGAAATGTTCTTGGCACCCATGGGAGTGAGGTTTTGCATTAGATATAAAACAGAGCATGCAAGAATGGAAGTTCACAACATTCAGAGCCAGTTCTGGAAATTCCTATCTTGCTCTTGTGGTGTCTTATTTTTCTTTGCTGCAGATTGGCGTTTGTGTCTTCCCATATGATCTTCCTGTAAATGTTACAGTTGCAGCAATTGATGCCTGCAACCTGATCTGAATGTGTATGTTTGGTGGCCCTGCCAGGCAGGGGGGTTGGAACTACATGATCCTTGAGGTCCCTTCCAACCCGGGTGATTCTGTGATTCATCCAATGATACAGATAAATCTTTTTGGATTCTGGCTTTTATACAAGCTATGGAAACAAACACACAAACACTATACACAAACAGCTCACAAAAAGTACTTTTCTGTGTTTTAGGTCTTGCTTCTGGCTGTTTTCTAGCTTTCTGCATTTGTATCTTGGTCACCTTGACCTTTCATAAAATTATCACTTCCTTGTCAGCTGGGATCATGGAAACTGCTTTGGTCAGCATCTCCTTTCCCTCTGTGTTGAGTGAAAAGAGGTATTTTCATTATCCCATAACCTTGTCATCTGATCTGACTTTGCATAAAGTAACAAGATGAGACTGAGAACAATTTATTGAAAACAAAAAATGGAGATAGAGTGAAGGAAAGGATAAGGAAGGTATGTATTGCTTAGAGGCAACAATGAAGTCTAAGGAAATTGAGCTGGACTTACTAAGACTTGAGGAATGTAATGACTGATGTTGGCAGTTATATCCCTCTCTTCTCAGGTCAAAGAGACTACATACGTGTTGTTCCCTTTGTATGAATATTTTTAGAATGGCTACGTGTGAGTATCTACACAGCAAATACTGTATTTGGGATTTTAACAAATGATTTGGGACCTACTATAATCTGACAGACTTCTGTTGATTTAAATAGAAAGCAAATATCTAGAGGGGGAAGTAGAGTTGAAAATGATGGTTTAAGTTGATAATTTGACAGGTAGCTGTTGGATCTAGGCAGCTAATTTGTCTCCTTTAACATCTTATTTTGACATTGACTGGTTTAAACGACTATTCCCTTGCAATATGACTCATGCATTCCTCAAACATTCAGAAACGTTCTGCACATTGAAGCAATTTTATAATAAACCAGGTATCTTGGTGTTCTGATGTTAGTTGGCACTTGGAATTTCTCTTAGTTTATTGCTATCTACTTATTGTCTGCCTGCATCCCTCAGGTGTCTACTGAAAGGTAAATTCAGTTCTAGTTCTTGTTATACTCCATCCCGTGCATCCTTCCAGCTGCTTGTTTTACTTAAGATTTTTTTTTTTGTTTTCAGTGTTTCAGGTGGATTTCAATCACTATGATTATTTCTATGCAAACTTGAGTTAGGTTTTTAAAGCAAATCGTAACGCTTATAGTCAGATTGATTTGTTAGTTCAGAAGTTTTTTTTTTAATTTTATCTATCCAATGTGCAGCTTAAGGCTTTTCATGGCAACACTAACAAATAATTAAGAACAAATCAATTAAAAGCTGCAGCACTTGTTTGCTTTCTGACACAAAGTTAGCAGAGCAGTCCTGAAGCCAGAAACAAGGGCTTCTGGACACAGTTTGGTGCACCTGGAGCTCCTGATCCACATCCATTTCAGTGGCAGGCCAATTACTGAAGAGTGCTGGTCAGCGATCTCAGCCTCATTTTCTTTTGCTGCGAGGTGAGCAGGCCAGTTAAGAAATGCTGGACACTAGCCACCTCCTGATTATTCACTTCTAGCCAAAAAAAAAAGCACAGCTCAAGGGAAGTTTTTGGCCAGGAGCCGCACTAGCCCAATTTATTTTCAAGCAGGACAACGATACAAATGGATGACACAAAGACTGTGCATTTCTATAGTCTCGCAGCCTGCATGTAAGTGCATTTTCTTGCCAGTATAATGAAATGGGTCTAATTGAGACATGCTGAGTGCGAGCTCAGCGCTCAGGCAGCATGCGGGCGTTTAGCACCCACGAATGAAGGCAGCTTTTCGCTTCAGTTTGCACCGCTTTCTGTATTATTCAACAGTGTGCTCAGAGCTGTCGTCAGGAGGCAAGAAAACCTTAGAAGCCAGAACCAATAGCTTATAAAGCAAATTAAGTTTCAATAAAATAACAGGGGAGGAGCTGGAAAGCTGCCACTTTCACAGGATGCAGCACAGGGTAAAAAGTAAAGAAAACAAATTTATGGTGATGTCTCCAGCAAGGAGACAGTTGTCTCCTGGAAGGAAACAAAAAATATGCAAAAGCTCCTTTTGGGTGCACTTTTGTGTACAGTTCTCCTTCAGACTTGTTGTTCTTTTCATGGGATTATTTTTAGTTTTGGATTTCTGTGGCTGCTTTGCAGTGCTGTGAATGCAGGAATGAAAGCCCAAAATGTTACTGGTTTCTTTATAAGAATCTAAAGATAAAACCACTTCAGTGAATAGCTTAGTATGTGCTGGGGCTGGCATGGGGAGGCAGTATGTAAAATACCTTGGGCTTTTTTGAGTGACTGAAATGTAGCCCTCGCTGTTTGGGTCTGGGAGTGTCAGTCTATGCTCGTGGAGGAGGTGGCTGCCATGGATTCTAACCCATTCCTCCTGCTGCCTGGGGCACTCCAACTGGTCTGTTACTGGAGAATGAGGATGGAAACAGCTCAAACTTTCAGTGTGGACGATGTAGGAAATTGAAGTAGGCTGAGGTTAGTGTTTCAAGAGGAGAACAGTGAACTTGTGTCTATCACTGCTCCTCAGCAGTGGCCAGCCTGCTGCTCTTGCAGGACTGTGCTGAGCCTGAATTTGGACTACAGCTCTGCTTTGCTCCTTCCTCCCTCTCCTCCATGTAACTCTCCAGGCAGCTGACTTTCTGGGATTGCTGTGGAGAAGCAGCCACATCTCTACAGGAATCTAGAACAAGCTCCGAGTGCCTTTGCTAAGCTTCACTCAGTGCAGATATGGGGCAGTGAGCACAGAGCATGCTCCATCCAGTGTGAATGAGTGGCTGTGGCATGGTGGTGGCTTTTATTATTCCATTTTCAACAAATTCCCATTGGCATTTCCTGAACATGGTCAGATCCATCATCTTAATGTACCTGAAGGGATGGCACTGGCTGAGCATGTTTTTACTCTTTCCTGTGCTGCATCCTATACTTTAAGTATAATGTAGTCTTTAAACACAGTGCAAGAGCTCATGAGCAGCATGGGAGCACAAAGCAGATTTGTTAGATGGTAGTTAAAAACAATTAAAAACCCAAGCTGGAAAGCTTGGAGTGTGGAGCTTGGACAGTTCCTATTATCCAGGTGCAGTGATTCGGTCCATATGAATACATGCTCTGTTTCTGTGGCTGCTGTGCCCTAGAGTCACGCTTGCTCTCCTGTGCTCTATGTTCCCACTCCGTGCTGCCTTCAGCTGCTGTTGAGCCTGGCTGGGGCAGGGCTGTGGGTGCTGCGTAACGTGGTGCACATGGCTTTGTTTCTTGTGTTGGCTTGTTTGCTTTGCTGTGCTCTGGTCTGGTGTCAGAGTTACGTCTGCTGTGGGCCTGAGGGGGATGGCTGTGGGCACTACACAGTGTTTACTCGCTTGCCACTTGATGTTTAACTTGTCACAGATAAATAAATAAGCCTTACTGCTGGGAAGTTTTTCGTTGTATTCTCAATCAAACAGCTCAGCTGTTCAATCTGATGGGTGATGATAATCAACCCATGGTGGGTTGTTAATTTCAATCCCTTTTGATGCAGGCAGGGAACTGCTGCTGCTGCTCCTGTGGGGGAGGCAGTGTGGTGAGGCCAGTCCTTTGCTGTGTAACCCTGCACCCCTGATCCAAAGTAAAAAGTCTTTCCTGCCTGGGCAGTGGGCCTGCTGCTTGTGGCATTGTGAGGCAGTACCTTAAGGCTGCTGGGATGTATGTGTTGTGCAAGGGCTTCATCACACTGTGGGCTGCATCCCTAGCAGATGTGTATTGTTGTTAGAGTAACCATTAGCAGTTCTTGGGGCAGTTGCTTGCTGGGCTTTGAGTGTTGGGCTCCGGGACGTTCGGGGCAGCTGTGAGCAGCACTGGTTGTGCTCTCTGTCAGAGGATATTCTCACCCCAGGCTATTTTTTTTTTTCTTCCTTTATGTTACACATCAATAACAATACAAAGGTGCCTTATTTATTTATTTATTTATTTTAATTTTGTTAACAGACCTCTTTTAAGAAAAAGTGACTTTCCAGCATGGCTAAAGAAGCTGAAAGAACAGCTTTAGAAATCCAGACAGGGAGAGCAATGCAAACTGTGGTGGTTGTAATGTCAGTTTTTTTTTGTTTGGG